CCTTCTTGCATATTTTAGCTGAGTCATTTTTCTTTCTTTTCTTTATTTATGATAAATTCCCTCTGTAAGTTCGGCGGCCCCATTCTGAGAAGAAAAGAAATAGACCCACCGCCTTCCTAAATAAGCATGCTTCACAAGGCGACTAATTTTGAGAGTTTCCTTGGAAGTCTGAGTGCATCTGCCTGAGAGGCGAGAAACCAACAGCCTATATACAAATAAGCCAAATCTGTAAAATAGATGTGCATGCAAAACTCAAATTCAGGAATAAGACCAGTTTAGATATCAAAGAACAACCATAACTTTCTGCCAGTGAATGCTAAGGAAAAGAAGATGTTGAATAAACATACAGACATGCATTGATCAGCACTCATAGAAAGATTCCTGGATGCTGTCATTCCCATTTAACACGAACGAACGAACGAACGAACAAACAAACTTTATTTTCAAAGGGTCACAAATTGGGCTTGCAGGCCCATCTTACATTCGGCACTTCCAAACACCCGTCTTTCACACTGCAGCTGTATTTTATCAATAAGCATGTTATATTCATATGATAATATGCATATTATGAATATCAAAAAAGAGAAGAAAAAAAGCACAAAACTATGGGTGGTAAAATGCATACACACACACATACACCCACCAACTCACTTGAACACACCCACATATCTTCATACACACATAAACACACCCCATTCACCCACATACATACCTACATACCAACACAGACACACACATTCCACACGCATACAGAAATAAACACACAGACACACCCATAGAAACAAATGCAGACACACACACACAATCAGACATAAGTGCACATACCCAATCACAATATGAGTCTGATATCTCTGCATAGAACTAACATTAGCTTCTCTTAACTACTGTTACAGCTTTCATTACACTTGCTCATGCTTGGTTGAATCTTACAAATGTAATTTTCTGTTGGATATGGCAGCCAGGGCCTTGTCATCCCTGCTCAAGTGTGCCTTATGTCATGCATGACAAGTTACAGTTTTACTATTCTTTCCTTTCTTTATAGACCGCAACAGCACACAAGTAGCAGTTTCTATTATAACCTTTCATTTTCATGTTCCCCCGTGCATTCCTTTATTTTTCACAAAGACATCATTGTGTGCCTTTTTAAAAAAATATATATTGTAAATTTGGATGGTTGAATGCAGTTTCTTTTAAAAAGTTAACAGTTTTAAGTTCCTAAGCAATGGCAAAATGGTTGTTGACCTTTGGATCCTGCACAAATATACTTTTTATTTAGGTTTATTTCTACAGATAGGTGGCAAGGAAAGGGGAATTGGGGTGTCCAGTTTTAGTGGCTAGATCAGAGCTTGCCAAATTGTACATGTTGGTGACACAGATAATTTCACTTCACATTATTCAGTCTACTAGCAAAGCGAAGGTTAAAGTTTAATGTTGCATGTGCTATGTTCTGTTTGACACTTTAAGTTGGCACAACACACCTTCACACAGCAACTGACATACTAATGTGTCATGACACACAGTGTGTAAAGCTCTGGATTAGATGCTTGCCTGCCAGCACAAATTCCTTGGGTTTAAATCTGCATCAAGGCTGATGTTTAAAACATAATTGACAACTGGCTGTCTGTCATGGACCCAGTTATTAGTGTAGGATTGTTTTTGTAGTGTTGCTTTGAAAGATACATGTTTGCGCACTAGTGGACTTTCAGGACGTTGATGTTGAATGGGTGAGAGGAAGGTGAATGAGGAATGAATGGATAATGACAGTTTGGTTTGTAGGGACAGATAGGTTAGGTTTTTGTTTTTGTGTGTTGGATATGTGTAGTCAATGTCGACCACGTCAGCAACTTCTATAATGTGTTTTTCCCAGTGTCTGCATTTGATCTCTGTCAAAGACAGTTCTATCAGCGGTGACTGAAAAAGATATAGTTCTGTTCCCAGTTACTGAATTGAGGGCATACTGTAATACTGTGAACTGTGGATTTTCCATTGGACTGCCTTTTGACTGCACTAACTTGGTTTGTGCTGTGAGCTGCAGGTTCAGTAAATGGCCATTATGGTCTTCCGCAATTGAAAGAGTATTGCCTTGGGTGTTGATTCCATTACGCCACATAATACTCACTGGGCATGACAACTGATAAAAGTTCCAAAGGGAAAACATGAATTACCCAAAAGGGGTGGAATAAATTTTTACCTCTGATACCAGTGAAAATACCCAAGCATTACATAAAATATACTCCTATCCATTAACGATAATGAAAAAAAAAAAGTAAACTTTTTTTTTATACGGGGAAGGGAGAATGTAATGGGGGATATTTTCGACCCAGTTTAGGATGGTTGGGGGGAAGGCCCAAAGCTGACCGAAAACACCGAGATAGTCCAGATACTTGGATTAAACGAGAATCTGGAGATAGGTGACTAACCACTAGTTATCACGGGGACCACGGTGATGCGACCCAAGGTCGCCATGGGAAAAGTAAAGGACCACCACGTGTTGTCACGTGAAGGGAACCCGTGGTATAAGTCAGACTTGACTCTGGTCAAGTTTAGTTTGTGTCGACCTGTTGGAGCGAGAGGACGAGCGACTGAATGTGCGAATGTCTACGTGAGTGCCAGAGGAGAAAGGAGACCTGCCGACGAAGTGTTAAGCTGAGATCGACCATGCCAGCGTGTGAGATGTCCAAACGTCAGTGTTGAATCCATGGGACCCATCGTTGCTTGAATGCCTGCAGAAGACTGTTCGTTAAAGGCTGCGTGAGTTTGTGTACGAAAGCGGTTCAATTAGACATCGACTGGACTATTCTGTTTGTCGTAAGTTTTAATACGTCAATAAAGTCAGGTCTCGTAAGCTCACATCGGTGTCGGCTTGTGCCAGTTGTGTAACGTGAAGCGTGTCAGAATATCATCCACCACACACGCATGAACACCGCCTAGACAACGAGTAGAAATACAAACCCATTTATTACACTTGTTGCTGCAGAACTGGTAGTGCCTTATGTGATCAATTGCATATGCAAGAACTGATATGTTTTAACCGCTGCTTCCATCAGTGGTGAACAGATCTTCTAGTGCTGGATTGTGTGTGTGCTGGCACTTCTGATGGCTGCCTCGTGCATGCAGTGCATGTTTATGCTGTTGGCTTACGAGACGACAATGTCAGTTAGTTCACAACGAGTAGTTAAAAGCATTCCCTGTAATTTTCGTTAGTAGAGGAATGGAGCAATGATGGGGGACTCATGTGCTGTGATGTTAGAAGTGTACTGACTTCAACACTTGACGTGTGTTTCTGTGCTGAACACGTGATTTCAGGTAGTATTTTGATAGTGGCTAGATTATGCTGTAGAACATTTCAGATTATATTTTTTACGACAGAACATCGTCACCAACTGGATATTAAACTTGACATCACCGACGTCTTGACTGTGAACTTACTATGTTACCGGGATTTATCTCAATCTCTGGTAGAGACATTTTTTGGTCACCACTGACAGAACTGTCCTTAACAGGGATCAAACAGAGACACTGGAATAAACACATTGTAGACGTCATTGACGAGGTCAACATTGACTTTATTAGGCTACACATATGGAACACACAAAATCCTAACCTCTCTGTCCCTACAGACTAAACTATCACTATTTATTTCTCATATACCTTCCTCTCACCCGTTTAACACCGATGTCCTGAAAGTGCGCAAACACCCATCTTTCAAAGCAACCCAACAAAAACAGACAGAAACTAATAACTGGGTCCATGAGCCACTAGCCTCCTAACAAACATGTCATAAGAGTTGACTAATTGGGGAGGGTTCCTTTGAAGTTTTGCCTGAGCGATGAGACACCAGCAGTCTACATACAAATAAGCCAGATCTGTGAAATGAGTAGGCATGCACAACTTATATTCTGGAATAAGACCGAAGTTCAGAAGTGGACTTTCCACTAGAAATTACAACCCATGAATGCAAAGAAAACGATCAAAGAAACAAGAATTATGGGGAAGGAGACATGAACTTTTCTGCCTAAAAACAGTTACTGAATTCTGGGGAACACAGCATGAATTTTCCTGCCTAAGAACATGTATTGAATTCTGGAAGTGGAGGGAGCACATGCTATCCTGCCTAAATACAGATACTAATTCTGCTGTCTAAGAACAGATGCTGAATTCTTGATGGGGAGGGTACACAGGCTTTCCTTTCTAAGAACAGATGCTGAATTCTTGATGGGGAGGGTACACAGGCTTTCCTGTCTAAGAACAGATGCTGAATTCTGGATGGGAAGGGTACACAGCATAACAAAGTAAATGTTGCCCATAAAATAGTAAATCAAGTACCGGGCAAGCAGACACACCAGCAACAATGGTGCCACACAGTCTGACTTGGCCTGCTGCCACACTGGTCTATGATCACTTGAAAAGAGTTTCTAACATCATGTATTTCTGTTGCCAACCTAGTCCTGTCAACTGGCAACCAGGGTTTTTTTTTAATGGCGGAAGATAGTTTATATAATTTAATATACATTTTCATAACATATTTAGTTTTTAATGGCTTGATTTGAAATGGGCAAACCAACCTTGATTATTGGGGTTGTGAAAATGACATAGATTGGTAACAGATCATTAAATTGCAATAAATTGTTATTTATAGTCAAATTTTTTTATGCATTAGAGTTTATGTGCACATTTTCAGACAGGACGGATTCATTGTCAGGTTTGGTTTGGTTTAAAAGTTTTTTTAATGAATATTATAAATTCAAATAATTGTAGAGTATTATTGTTTTGTAGTAGCATGTGACAGATGCAGAGGTTCTGCGGACAGAGAGACTGAGCCGTATGGAATAAAACCAGGTGCAATTAAAAAATTAGGATATGTTTTTAACCTCAATAATTTGAGACTATTATTTTGAGGAGTGCTATTATGTCTCATATTGCATAAAATATTGATAAAACTGACATGTTTTTTGTTTAAAACTTAATTGTTAATTTTTTTTGTTTTATTTGTTGTGCAGATTATAAAAGACCTTAGGGCTTCATTTGCCTCTGGGAAGACTCGAACGTATGAATGGCGTATAGCCCAGCTGAAGGCTGTGGTCAGACTGTTACAAGAAAATGAAGCACAGATTGCTGCAGTTCTGTACAAAGATTTACATAAAGTGAGACACATTAGCTTGTTTTATAGTTTGTCATAATCGTCATCACTAATTTTCATTTTTGCCATTAAGCATTGTATTGAGGAACAGTTTGCAATTCATTGCTTGATGGGTAGCAATGGTTATTGTCATTTCGTGTCAGTGTAGAAGCTCTTTAATGTCATTAGTCCATATTTTCCTAGGGCAATCTCTTGCTTTCACATAAGATCTTTTCATGTGTAACATCTGTGTTGGTTGTTGTTCTGGCTGCATCCTAATGAATGACCAGATCATTTTGGTGCATGGTGTTGTTCCCACAGGCTGTCTGATAGTTTCATTTCTCACTTTGTCTCAGATGGTTAAGTTGGCAACTTTCACATATGTAAATTTAATGTAGGTTAGAGTGTTATAATGTCCAACTTTGGCACTGGTAGCACAATGTTGGTATGAATATCCTGTTTATAATCTGTTTCTTAGCGTTTCATTTTTAATACCTATTTTTTAAAATCACATTGTCACTGTCTCTTGTAAAGATCACATTGTTAATGTCCGACTAATGTCTTTTGTACATCTCATTGTAAACGTAATTTGAGTAAAGTATTCAAAATAATCTGTAAGTCATTGAATTTTAAAGTATTGTAAAATTTGAGTAAAGTTTTCAAAATAGTCTGTAATTCATTGAATTTTAAAGTATTGTTACATAGGATGTAATAGAAACTGAAATATGGTTTGCAAACGCAAGTGAAAGGATTCTATCAGGGCCTGTTAGTCACTGAAGGTAAAAGAGGATCCATGGCAGGAGCATCAAGAATTACATCACGACAGTCTTCTTCTCCTTCTCCTGCTCCTTTTTTTCCTTCTTTTTCTCCTCTTCCTCATCCCCCTCCTTCTCTTCCTCCTTATTCTACATATTCTTTTGGGCGGCTGGCATGGTTTACTATGGTCCCCAAAAAAAATCTGATTTCTGCTTATGTTTATTCAATGGATCAACATCAATCGCACACGAGTGTAACCTATAAGTGCTCCATTCTTCTTCTGACTCAAGCCTGAGTCTGAAGATTCTCAGCACAGTGCACGAACTCTGTAGCACCGGCGAGGATCCTGAAATACTTTGGGTAGATTTTTAACTCCAAATTTTGTCCGAGCAGTGCCGTTAGGCTACTAATTTGGACTTCCAACTGCGAGAGATTTTTTACGTGTGCAACAATACACAGGGGGGTCCGGTCTTACTACCCAGAGACCAGGGGAAATTACTAGAAGTCCACTTGAAAAAATCCCAGCATTCACCGGGGCTTGAACTCGGGACCTCTAACAAACAAGGTGGACACCATGCCTCAAGACCATGCAGCCATCTTTTGTTGGCATGCTTGTTAGGTGGTAGTAGGACTCTTCTCCCCCTCCCCCCACCCCAAAATGGTCCCGGAACCCCAGTGAGGAAGGCATGGTAACTGAAATCCTTACCACATGTCCCTGCAGAATACTATCTAGTGTGTTTTCTATAAGGTTAGGCATCGTTTGTTGATTTTCTCTTCTTGTTCTGTTGTGTCGGGTGACACTTTTGTTATAATGCTGCTTGTTTGTTCTATAGCAGTCCTGGCATAATTTCTTGCCATCTACCCTTTTATGGAAACCTTGCTTCTTTAGTTTATCATTTTATCCACTCTTTCATGGATTGTTGCTTCTTTGTTGGATTATTGTATCCACTGTTTCATGGATCCTTGCTTCTTCACCGGATTACTGTATCCACTGCTCATGTTTGTTTATGTGTCACACTTTCATGAAAATTGTTCATGCATTACCAAGCCAACACTTGTGATGGTGACCTGCAAGTACTCAGTGATTCCTAAACTCTCAACAAACATTGGGTTCATCCCAGTGAATCACTGGGGCCATGACCTAGAGCAGTGTTTTCCAGCCTTTTTCAGGTGGATACCCCCTTGAGTATATGCTGTCTTCAATAATTGATTAAGAGTCCATGAATAAGATCCATAAGTTGCCATAGGAAAGATGCGTGTGACAAAACTTTAACTTACTTGCAAACGCTGTGCAATAGGTTCTTCATGTTGTTTTGTCTCTGCACTGCTAAAGCAAGGTCTTTTTCTGACTTCTTTTGTACAGCTGCCATTATTCTTCGATATTAAGACTAAATAGTCTAAATCTGTGACAGTTTTAATCTCTTCTTTATCGATTTTAATACGTAGTTGATGTGCTGTATTCTTTGTGGGCATAATTTCTATCTCAAATTCAGAAACATATTTTTTTCTTTGCTGTGCTATTTTGACAAAGTTAACTCCGCTAAGCCATGTACACTGTTGGAAAGGAGGACTGTTATGTCTGCATATCTAGTTCTGGGATAGGTGAATACGGCTAGATGACATGATATCAGAAACCCCTTACATTTGGACCACAAGAGATGCAAGAAGTTTTCAGAGGCTTCATCCTGGCCAATCATTTGAGTCACAGACTAGGATTATGATAGATGTGTCTTTCAGTATTGCTTTTCATGTTATTTCACATGCTGTTTGACTCCTTTTATTGATTCCTCATCCCTTTTTTTTAAACCTGCTTTTTGGTTATAATTGAAGTAATCATTGCATTTGCTTAGTTATACTGCAGTAAGCATGTCTAATAATAGCAGCAAAAAATATATACATTAGAATAAGAGGATGGTATTTGCTAGCAGCAGGTAAACATGCCTGTGTATAAATATAACATCAAAAATGACCAGGAAGAGGTTATAAAATGTTTATGTGGATTACATTTCAGTCGCGTATCGAAGGGGAACTGATGGAAACATCATTATGTCTGAATGATGCGATTGACAGCATCAACAGTCTTCAAGAGTGGATGAAGCCCACAAAGGTCAGTTGCTGTCTGTTGTTATACTTTGTATAAGACTGGGAAGGCAAATGCCTGCAGAAGTTGAATGTGTTGGCCGAAAAAGCGCAAATGTCACAGCCAAGCTGTAAATGGGCACAACGCAGTTACATCTTTGGATGAACGCATAAGAAGGTACCTAGTACATAATTTGCTCTGCAGTGCCGTCTGAATCCACGGGCCCCCTGAGTCTTTGCCCCGGGGGCTCCATGTGCATAGCAACCCCATGATAATCTGTGGATGTCAAGTGAGTGGTTGTCGGAGGGGCCTCAGCACACAGATTAGCCCAGGGGCCCATAATTTAAGATGGCTCTGATCAGAGGTGCTGGATAGATCTTTTGGATCTTTTGTCCAGGGGCATCCAGATATTTGAGGAAACAAACAGGCAGAGAGATCGCCCATTTCATCACAACCAGGTGGTTAACTGTTGTACAACAAGCGGGTTGTTGTCAAGCCTTTTTTTGAGAATAATAATAATGTGGAACAAAAAGTAAATCACTACCGTCTGGAAGGAATGGTGCAGTGGGGAGTGTTGGGTATTATTTCTCATCATCACTGATGAATGCTAATCACCACAATGCCCTTTGTTTGTTTGTTGTAATTGATTTGGTAAAGCTGATATATAATTTATGATTTTCCTATATTTTTTTAAACATTGGATGCACATAAAAAAAAGGTTGTAAATGACCCTTCACCATGCCTCTTGGGTGAGGTGTGGTCAGCATTACGCCGTCCGCCTTTACTTCCCAGGGCTGTATTTGGTAGCCTCTCAAGGCTGAGTTGGCCTGGAAACTACGGTCATTAAAAAAAAAAAGGCCTGCTCTGTCAGGACATTGGATGCACATAATGTCTGAAAAATGTTCTGACAGATATAAATGTTTTTAATAACAAGAAGTGGACTTCCGTTTTCAAAATGGCGGACAGCAGCTGTGTTTTTTTTCGCTGGCTGTCAATTCTCTCAGATTATTCTGTTTCATAAACATGGACTGTTATTTTATGCGCATTTCCAACGCAGGATATTATGTGTTTTTCGTGGGAACAGCGTGTATTGTGGTTGTGCTGTGTCGGGGCGGGATAATGACCGATAGTTTTGGCAGCCTCGGCCACGCTGCCTTCGCAATGTTTTGATCGCGGCGGTCCACTCGGGAAGACAGAATCTCGTCAGCAGGGGACTGCAACTGTCTTGAGAGCAAACTCGATAAAAGCTGTCCCCAGAAACGGAATGTGTCAACCATATATTTGGTGGGGAGGAATCGACACATACTGTTAACTCGATGGCCATAACAAGAATTAAGAATATGATCCCACTTTCCTCTACAGTTTCTATAGCAGTTTTTGTGTGTGTGAACATAAATCTACCGCTGGCTTAGAGACATGTCACAGCTTCATTCCTAAAGAAACACACAAAGAAAGGGCACTAACAGAAAACCTTGAGAGAAAACTAACTAACCACCGGTGAAAGAATGCAAACTGACTGACTGACTTTTTACGCCACCGGGACATCACACCAAGAAATAAACACCAGGTGACACAAAGTGCCACCATTCAGATGAGTATCCAAAGTGGGGAGGTCCCAGCAACCCGGTTCAACCGTTAGGTTATATTAGAGACTCCGGCAACAGCCAGGGTGGGGCTTCAAAATAATGAAAATTCCGTCCCAGATAAGGAATGGGGATTTTACCCAACTGCAAACAAAACCAGAAGAGATCATGTGAGAAATGAAGAGATTAGATCTATTGCGGACATCATTGAATTATTTGAGAAACAAAGACTGGAATGGTTCAGCCACCTCCTCCTTCTCCTCTTCTTCCTGCTCGTCGTCCTCCTCCTCTCCTCCTCCTTCTTCTTCTTCTTCTTCTTCTTCTTCTTCTTCTTCTTCTTCTTGTATTGTATTGTATTTTACAGCTGTAGTATCTACACCTTTTAGCCCTACAGATCAGATTTCAATAAGCTAATTACTTCCCTTTATACAGCATATTTATTAGAGGGCAGCGGCTCTATTCTCCCTCTCCTCCCACCACCTCATGGGGCCCAGGAATGCACATGGGGATTTAGTAACTGAACAAACCTTATGGCATTAATATTTATCAGAAGTATTGAACGTGTCATACTTATTTATTACACTGTATTTATAATGAACCATCAATGTAAAACGAGTTTGTATGGAAATGCAGTCATCAGTAGACAAAAAAAAACAGATATGGCCTATGCTAACACAACCAGCTGTGTCATTGACTGTAGCAGGCATGACCATAAACTGTTGTGTGTTTATCTACACATTTAGACATTAGAAAAGTGATCCAGTCTTCTTTTTAGTGTGTCTTCAGTTTTCTATAGAAATCTGCGAAGTGTCATCACTTTTCTATAGACATCTGCCAAGTGTTGTCAGTTTTCTATAGACATCTGCCAAGTGTGTCATCAGTTTTCTGTAGACATCTGCCAAGTGTGCCATCAGTTTTCTATAGACATCTGTCAAGTTTGTCATCAGTTTTCTGTAGACATCTGCCAAGTGTCATCGGTTTTCTATAGACATCTGCCAAGTTTGTCATCAGTTTTCTATAGACATCTGCCTAGTGTGTCATCAGTTTTCTATAGACATCTGCCTAGTGTGTCATCAGTTTTCTATAGACATCTGCCAACTGTCATCAGTTTTCTTTAGACATCTGCCAAGTTTCATCAGTTTTCTTTAGACATCTGCCAAGTGTGTCATCAGATTTCTATAGACATCTGCCTAGTGTGTCATCAGTTTTCTAAAGACATTTGCTGAGTGTGTCATCACTTTTCTATAGACATATGCCAAGTGTGTCATCAGTTTTCTATAGACATCTGCCAAGTGTCATCAGTTTTCTATAGACATCTGCCTAGTGTGTCATCAGTCTCCTTTACACATCTGCCAAGTGTGTCATCAGATTTCTATAGACATCTGCCTAGTGTGTCATCAGTTTTCTAAAGACATTTGCTGAGTGTGTCATCACTTTTCTATAGACATATGCCAAGTGTGTCATCAGTTTTCTATAGACATTTGCCAAGTGTCATCAGTTTTCTATAGACATCTGCCTAGTGTGTCATCAGTTTTCTATAGACATTTGCCAAGTGTCATCAGTTTTCTATAGACATCTGCCTAGTGTGTCATCAGTTTTCTAAAGACATTTGCTGAGTGTGTCATCACTTTTCTATAGACATATGCCAAGTGTGTCATCAGTCTCCTTTACACATCTGCCAAGTGTGTCATAGGTTTTCTGTAGACATTTGCCAAGTGTAATCAGTTTTCTATAGACATTTGCCAAGTGTCATCAGTTTTCTATAGACATCTACCAAGTGTGTCATCAGTTTTCTATAGACATTTGCCAAGTTTGTCATCAGTTTTCTATAGACATTTGCCAAGTGTCATCAGTTTTCTATAGACATCTACCAAGTGTGTCATCAGTTTTCTATAGACATCTGCCAAGTTTGTCATCAGTTTTCTATAGACATCTGCCTAGTGTGTCATCAGTTTTCTTTAGACATCTGCCAAGTGTGTCATCAGTTTTCTTTAGACATCTTCTAAGTTTGTCATCAGTTTTCTATAGACATCTGCCTAGTGTGTCATCAGTTTTCTTTAGACATCTGCCAAGTGTGTCATCAGTTTTCTTTAGACATCTTCTAAGTTTGTCATCAGTTTTCTTTAGACATCTTCTAAGTTTGTCATCAGTTTTCTTTAGACATCTGCCAAGTCACAACCCAGTGGTTAAAAAAAAAGTGGGGGTGGGGGGGAATATGCCATCCTTTATTTTTAATTTGTAAACATTCAGTCTGTAATGTGTGAGATCAGCTGGAGCCGCTATTTTTGTCTTCTGGTCATTCATCTATTTCAAAACTTTATTAAAGGTGACTAAGTAGCAGTTTGCTGAAATCGGACACAGCACATGATGATGTTGTTAAATCACTACTCACAGAGAGTTTCCTTAATTCAGTATCGTTTCAGTCTTCTAACTATTTTATTTAACTATATAAACATCAGACATATCTGTTTCCAGGCAGCAAAGGGATCCATTTTCTTGATGGATAGTGCCTATATCATGAAAGAACCGCTGGGTGTGACTTTGATCATTGGTGCCTGGAACTACCCAGTCCAGCTTGTCATCCTACCTTTGATCGGAGCTATAGCAGCAGGTATATTATTTCATTCAATCTTTCATTGTGGGTTAATTTTGGTGGTACCTAGGTCATATTTGAAAATCCACCTGATACGGATTCATCTTGTTACCACCGAGCTACTGCAAAAACTAATAATTCTTAGTTTCACAGTTATGATAAATCTACGAGAAATATACAAGGACTGATAATTCTTAGTTTCACAGTTATGATAAATCTACGAGAAATATATAAGAACTGATAATACTTAGTTTCACAGTTATGATAAATCTACGAGAAATATACAAGAACTGATAATTCTTAGTTTCACAGTTACAATAAATCTATGAGAAATATACAAGGACTGATAGTTCTTAGTTTCACAGTTATGATAAATCTACGAGAAATATACAAGAACTGATAATTCTTAGTTTCACAGTTACAATAAATCTATGAGAAATATACAAGGACTGATAGTTCTTAGTTTCACAGTTATGATAAATCTACGAGAAATATACAAGGACTGATAATTCTTAGTTTCACAGTTATAATAAATCTATGAGAAATACACAATAATTGATAATTCTTAGTTTCACAGTTATAATAAATCTATGAGAAATATACAAGGACTAATAATTCTTAGTTTCACAGTTATGATAAATCTACGAGAAATTTACAAGGACTGATAATTCTTAGTTTCATAGTTATAATAAATCTATGAGAAATATACAAGGACTGATAGTTCTTAGTTTCACAGTTATGATAAATCTACGAGAAATATACAAGGACTGATAATTCATAGTTTCACAGTTATAATAAATCTATGAGAAATATACAAGAATTGATAATTCTTAGTTTCTTAATTCTTAGATTTCACCAGTGTGTAGTTCGTTGGATGATATAAAAATGTCAGGTGTAAAAAATGTTTCTTACGCTTCTGCTGTACGTGCATAACGTAGTTCTGGGTTTTCTGGTATGTTGGACTTCTGTTGCTTTGGTCTTCTGGAATTCTGCATTCTTGAACATTCGTCGGCTGCATTTCTGGACTTCTGGAGCTTTAGTTGTCTGTACTCTAGGCTTCAAAATCGTTGGTTTTCTGCAACTCTGGAGCTTTGGACTTCTGTAAGGTTGGTCTTCTGAATTCTGGACTGCTACCCTTCTGGACGTCTTGAACTGCTGTCTTCTGGGACTAATGGCTTCTTGATGTTGATGATAAATGTCTAAATTTGCTTCTATTTTTGCTGCTCATGTCTCTGCTTCTGGACTGGTTGTCATTGTGATCGTACTCGTAGTTTTTGTTATGTTCGCTGAAACTGGAAAACTTCTGGATAGTGCTTGCATTCATTATTGGAACTTAAAAATGTTTGCGTAGTGCTTGTTCGTCGTTAGAACTTGAAAACTCTCTGTGTGAAACTACTTTCTCTTCATTGTTGGTTACTTTGTGCTGCGTTGTTTGACGTGGTTACTTTGTGCTGCGTTGTTTGACGTGTCTTACAAATTGTCTCATAATGTCATTTTGCTGGGTAAACGTAGTAAAGCTTCTCAAGGCAACAAAATCGATTTTTTTTTTTTGGCATGTGTAGAAGTGTTGTTTACATTTCGCTGATGCTTGAAAGTTCTTGAAAAACGTTACCGAAACTTAGCTTCTTAACTATACATCTTTAGAAGTGTCTGTAAGAATGCTTAAGATCTTGAAAAATCGTACGCGAATAGTACCAAAATTTAGTCTCTTGCTTGCTGTTCAAAATGCTTCAGGTCTTTGAAATCCTGGTCCTAAGGCACCAAAATCGGACCTCCCCCTTATGTAGCACAGCTCTCTTCTTCGTTGCGTTTGTCGTTGTCACACCCAGGTTCGTCTTTAGGTTTTGCTACAGGAGGAGTCGATTGGAAGATTATAGACGAGGAGAAAGATGGTCGTGTCGATAGTGGCGATGATGATGATGTCTTGCTTGCTACATGCTTCTCCTACAAAATGTCTGGAAACAACTGTTCTCGTCTGTACTGTCTTTATTATGATACTTCAGCAATGTCACAAAATAACAGCAATGACATTCTAAATAGTGCTGTGTTCTCTCTATGGCTAAATACTCGTAGGTTCGCGTTGTGTTCTCTAGTTGCTTTGTTAACTGGTTCTAGTGTCTCTACTGCCACCTGGCTTCTAGTGCTGTTTGATACTAACGGCTTGATCGTCGACTCTATAGTGTTCCTAATGTGTCTCTGTTAACCATGGATCCATGTATCCTGTGTGTCGTCTCTGTAGCTCGATGTCTCGTTTCATGTCTGCTCTCTAGTGACTGTCTTCGAGGTTCAATATGAACGGCTGCTCTGCTTCCAGTGTTGAGCTGGCATCAAGGATCATTCAGACTAGTCGCTCATCCTCTGAGTCTCAAAGACTGAAGGCTTCTAGTGTTGGGCTAACATCTCTACCACTGAAGGCTGTCTTGGGAGCCCATGTGACTGGCCTCTCCTCTTTCTCGAGTCTTGTGGACTGAAGAATTTCTAAAGTGCTTTGTTGCTCGCTATTTATACTTGGATGCTGGAATGCTAGGTACTTGTTTTCTTCTCGCTTTGTCCGCTTCTAGAATATTCTAGTACGTCTAAACTTGTTTACTATGTACTTTCTCACGTGGGATTTGCTAATTATATCTCGATTGCATCAGATTTCATCATCCTATTCTACGCAGATATAGTAGTTAAACTGACAATTGAGGTCATAGAAGCTTCTAGAAAAACAAGGACAATTGCGTTTGCTTTGATATGGCACGTCAACAAGGTATTCACTAGTGTGACAAGGTTGGGTCACATGATGAAAAGAATGCATTTCAAAACTTCTAGAAAAAAGGCCAAGGCCAGACAACATCAGTTTGATGTCAATAGCTTGTTTTGGCGAGAAAAGAAGATTCTGGAAAAGGGAATGTCAAGGCTGCCAAAACTTGTTGATTTTCAGTACACCATTACTCTGCGTAATAACCCACTTCCTTCAAACAAGTAATGACTTAACTGTGTTACAATAGTTATAATAAATCTATGAGAAATATACCAGGATTGATAATTCTTAGTTTCACAGTTATAATAAATCTATGAGAAATATACAAGGACTAATAATTCTTAGTTTCACAGTTATGATAAATCTACAAGAAATATACAGTGGGCTTTAAATTAAATGTTGTTATCCTTTTGTGAAATTGGAAGGAGGGGGCTTAGTGATGTTTTTGATTTACTGTAGATGATGCTTCCACAGATGGGCTGCAGTGTAAATTAAGCATGTTTTCTTTTCTAAATAGATCTATCCTAGATTTCTTAAATGCAAAAATCATAACATGTGAGATTAGATGTATGAAAAAATGCAGCAGAAAAAAAAACAAAACAGAAGAGATAGAGTCACCAATGATAAACTAAGAATAATAGTAGGAACATCACCGGAAACTGATTTCATAGGACATCAAAGAATCAAATGGTTTGGTCATCTATTCAGAATGGGACTAAATCAGCCAGCGGCTAAAGTGTACTACATGAGGACAGTAGGCTACAGGTCAGGAGGTCAGTCTTTGTAAGGAAGTGTAGGAAGATAACACACCATAGATCAGGAATGCTAACAGACTGCAGAATTAGCTTGAGAATATAATTCTAAGGGATTGTCCTAAGATATATATATGTATGCAAGTAAAGTAAAAAAGTAAAGATCCCTTTTCACGCCATAGGCGCATCAGGTTTTTTTTTTTTTTTAACGTATCCAGAAACCATGAGTTGTAAACCCTTTGGCTCGGTACTATGGATATCGCAACCCTTCGGCATTGATTCCATTATAGGTACCGTTAATCTGGGAGAAATGTGGCTTTTCTGCCTACCCCCGGGAGTGAACCCGGACCACAAGGAGTTCGTCACCCGGCCGCCGCGAAAGTAAGGTTTAACCAACTTCGCTAGAGAGCCGGGCGAGGCGCATCGGGTATATGGGAAGAGCGTCCCATATTTTTACAGGCCAGTTAGCAATGGATGGGTAATATATTACACCAGCCGTCTTTACTTCCCCAGGACAGCCATCCTGGTACCCATTCTAGGCTTGGTCGACCTGCCACACCCCAAACCATGATAAAAATCCACGCAGCCAGCAGTTGTATATTACGAGTCAGAATCGCAACACCTAAGCCAAGGACGCCGCTTATATATATATATATATATATATATATATATATATATACATATATATATATATATATATATATATATATACGTGTGTGTGTGTATATATATATATATATGTGTGTATACAGGAAGCGATTATTGTTGTGGAAGCTAGATGATAGCGGTAGATGTGACCCACTAAAATAAAAAAAAATGTGGACACCTGGGAAAAATCTAGTCAAAGACCCTCCCACAATTTATATATTGTAGAGCCACAGTACATAACTATAGTTAAAATAATAAGAATGAAGTGCTCCAAGTTATTAATTAGCAAGGTAATATCACGGTAAGCAGGCAAACAACCTGGCAGGTTAAGTGTTCAACTATAATCTGCTGAGGCCAAATGCATTATGTAATTTACATCTCCTCTGGCGCGTCCGGTGTAGCTTTGACCTTCCAGCAGAGTTGTGGTCATCTCTCAGGACATCCCCATAAGATATGTTGCAATTCTGTCATCCAGACCAGAGACCTGTTTTCCTCTCAGCCATTTTATTGGTTGTTAACAATGTATTTACGCCCGCGCTTTTCCTATCCATTTAGTTGGTGGACCTAATAATTTTTTGATGCCTTCTGTTATTCCATTAATAATATTTTAGTGACAGTTTCAATTTATTTATTTCTCTCCTACCATTTATGTGGTCCTTCTTTCTGGCAAACAGTTCGAGCACTGGATTTTAATTCACTGTGCGACTCCGACTAAGAAAGAGAGGCTATAAATGAGACACCAACAAAACACAATATGGCATTAACACAAGCTGCACAGTTAGCAAAAGATAGGAACGTTGGAACATTTAGAGTTGTTCATATACAAATAAGTTGCATGTTAACATAATTAAGAGGCAGTCTGTAAAGATAAGTGAATCTTATACTGAAGTGTGTGATAAATGATAAATTGATCTACAGTAACACATCTTTTAATTATTCTAAGTTTGGGCTGTTGAAGAGAGAAGTCCAGAAGGGAGCTGGTTGCAATGAAGCTTTTATTGATGTGTTAATTGTCTTTTGTTTGTTACAGGGAACTGTGCTGTCTTAAAACCATCTGAACTGGCAGAAGCCACAGCAACATTTTTTGCAGAAACTATTCCTAAATATCTGGATACAGTAAGTATTGATACAAGAAAACATAAATATTTAGTTTTCATGGAAGACATATTTACATATATTTGTGGGTATTCATAGGAAGTCCTGATGTGGGTTCTGTGGCCCCAGTTTTGGGGTTTAAAAAAAAAAATCACCCTGTTTACCTCAGAGCAGTAATCAATAGAAAGATTCTGTCAAACTTTTCTCTAACTATGAAATTCTGTGACTATACCAGTAAGCTCCAACCAAGAGTAAATTATCCCTAAATAATAAAATATTGTTCTATTATATCATGTAATGCTGTTAACGATGCCTTGATATCGAGAAGTCAGAAGACAGATGCTTGCAGAAGTTCGATGTGTCAGGTGAAAGGAGCAAATATCGCCACAGACATCATCGCCTCAGTGTCATCTGCAATCTCTCACCCCGTAAATGTTCTTTCAATTGGCCAGACAAATGAAAGTCTGATGGTGCAATGTCTGGGCTGTATGCTGCAAGTTTCAAAAGTCTGTTGTGTATCCACTGTATGCGCAGCTGTGTGGGAGCAGGCATTGTCATACAGCAATAAAACTCATTTTGAGAGAAGATCTCTGTGTTTTGATTGGATCGGATCAACTTGTTAGCTAACATGTCACTGTAATGAGCACTGATGTTTTAATTGGATTGGATCAACGTGTTCGCTAACATGTCACTGTAATGAGCACTAGTGTTTGGATCGGATCAACTTGTTTGCTAACATGTCACTGTAATGAGCACTAGTGTTTTGATCGGATCAACTTGTTCGCTAACATGTCACTGTAATGAGCACTAGTGTTTGGATCGGATCAACTTGTTTGCTAACTTGTCACTATAATGAGCACTAGTGTTTGGATCGGATCAGCTTGTTTGCTTACATGTCACTGTAATGAGCACTAGTGTTTGGATCGGATCAACTTGTTTGCTAACATGTCACTGTAATGAGCACTGATGTTTTAATTGGATTGGATAAACGTGTTCGCTAACATGTCACTGTAATGAGCACTAGTGTTTGGATCGGATCAACTTGTTTGCTAACTTGTCACTATAATGAGCACTAGTGTTTGGATCGGATCAACTTGTTTGCTAACATGTCACTGTAATGAGCACTAGTGTTTGGATCGGATCAACTTGTTTGCTAACATGTCACTATAATGAGCACTAGTGTTTGGATCGGATCAACTTGTTCGCTAACATGTCACTGTAATGAGCACTAGTGTTTGGATCGGATCAACTTGTTCGCTAACATGTCACTGTAATGAGCACTAGTGTTTGGATTGGATCAACTTGTTCGCTAACATGTCACTGTAATGAGCACTAGTGTTTGGATCGGATCAACTTGTTCGCTAACATGTCACTGTAATGAGCACTAGTGTTTGGATTGGATCAACTTGTTCGCTAACATGTCACTGTAATGAGCACTAGTCACAGTTTCACCCTGGAGATGTGTCAATTAGGGCCTTTGTTAGGGCCTTTGTCATCTGAAAAGACAGTTCTTCTGCATACTGTTCCATGCAGACTAGGATACAATTGACTTCCCCTCATACAGTAGGATGAGGATGATGTTTCTAGTTATATATAGAAGTTAGTTTATGTTGCTTACCTTTCCTTTGGAGTAAACACAACAGGCTGAGTGAGGGACAATGCTGCATGGGCAACTCCTGGTCTCTACACTACTGCCCAGGCTTTGTGCTATGGAGAGAAGGAAATTCTTCGGTACTTGTAATGGCAACAAGGGTCCTGACAACCCATGCTCTAACTGGGGAAGACTTTTCTAAGGCGGGCGGGTTTTGCTAGTTACACTCGCCGTGGCTTGTGGTTTCTATGACTCTCCACTATAACACTTATCGTCTGGAAATACATAAAGGTGCCAACTCAGTTTGTATCTCTAGTTATGAATGTAAGTTATTTTATGTTCTAACTTATGTAGAAACTGCAGTTTATTTATGTTACTGCTACATCAATGTTTTTTTGTGGTTCTCTCTCTAGAATTCTTTCAGAGTGGTCACTGGAGGTGTCCCAGAAACAACAGCATTATTGAAAGAGAGATTTGACCTCATTTTTTACACAGGCAATAGTGCTGTGGGGAAGATTGTCATGAGAGCAGCATCTGAGTACCTCACACCGGTTGTTTTAGAGCTGGGTGGCAAGAGGTAGGCATTAAGTATACATCATTCAGATCTTGTATGCAGAAGGAGGAGGAGGAGGCGAACCTGTGAACTTTGAGTTTCATAGCATTAAGGATAGGGTACACTGGCCTAACTTACACTTGGTCCTTTCTGTCATCCCCCTTTCGTACACTATTTTTTATTATTATGCATGTTATATTGTAAAAAGAAAAAAAATTAATAATCAGCCTACAACAATATTTGGTAGCACTTCTAGAAGAATTATAAAGCAGAGAAAGTTTAAAGCTATTTGGATCACTGACTAACCTCTTTTCATTTGAGAAAATCTCCAGAACTGGCCCATGGAGTGTTAGAACTGTGTGGTTATGTAGCTAAAATGTTTTGTACTAGAACACACTGGACAGCACACACAAAAAATAACATAAAGCATAAAGGACAATTAGCGATGGATGCTGGGAGGAAAAGGTGGGAAGAACTTGTGGGGAGCTGCATACAGTGACAAGGGATGAGACAACCTGGCACCAGTTAGTTGAGTGTTAATGCTGCATTGGGGAATAAAGGGCAGAAGAAGAAGAGAAATTGCTTGTTCTTTTATTAAATGTTATTGCAGTAGATATGCTTTTGTAATACTCTTCAGACTACTAACCAGTGACTAGTTCCTTGTAAATCATTAGGTTTTTGTTTTATTTATCAAGCTGCAAATCATTGATTAGTTGTTCTTGTATTTTTGTCAGTGCTATCCAAAAAGTGGTTGTTCTTTTTTCCTTGCTAAATGATTGACTGTTCTTTTATTAAGCAGCTGTTAATAAGAGGTGTCGTGTTATTTTCTTGTAGAATTACTAATCAGTTAGTTTCTTTATTAAACTAATTTACTAGTGATTAGATACTACTACTTATTTATTGAATAACTAGTTCCTTTAGTTCACAGTTTCTATTGAATGGGTAATTGTTATTTGTTCATCAAGTTCCTAATAAGTCATTGATAGCTAACTTTTTAACCACCCATGGCTATCAGTAACTAGTTGTTGTTTTAATCTCATCACTGTTAGTGACCTCTTTATTCATTTGTAAAACCATTATAACTGAATAATGCTGTGAGATTTTTATCAAATAAAATGTTGAAAATGACACAGCCAAAGTAACTGGACCTTGTTTCTGTGTCACCAGCCCTGCATATGTGGACAGAAATATTGACGTTGACCTTGTGGCTCGACGTTTGGCCTGGGGAAAGTTCTGTAATGCTGGACAGACATGTGTAGCTCCAGATTATGTCTTGTGTCCACCAGAAGTACAGGTGGGTACCAACTGTTCTTATATCGTTATCCTGACTCATGAGAGTGGCTTCTGGTCAAAATAGACGCTAGGCACGGCCACTGTTTCGAGTCGTAGCAAAGTTTTTGCTTCTGCCAGACGGTGGCTGTTGCATTTGTGCTCCATTTTTAGACTGAAAGGATATAGTTATGTTGCCCAGCTACTGAGTTGAGTGCATGGTGCGACCACATGAGCTGCGGATTTAATTTGGAATATTTTTCAACACTGACCAACGTGGTGTTGTGTTGTAAATTGTAGATTGAGAAAATGGCACGTGGCCTGTCGTCACAATATTAGTGGTGCCCTTATGTGATTAAAATTGATCGCCTATGCAACTGCTGATTTGTTGGTTACCTCTGCTACCGTCGATGATGAACTGCATTTCTATTGTCGGACTGTTTGTGTTAGCACTTCTGATTGCTACCGTATGCTTTTAATGGGTGTGTATGCTAATACATATGCTGATACAGCAGTCTGTTAATCTTTTCACAAGAGACTGTGATAAACATTCTGTGAGTTTTTCGTTGGCACAGGAGCAGAGCAGCTATAGGGTGACCCGTTTGCTATGAAGCTGAAACTAATTTAACATAACATATCATTATATTTTTGTGCTATAATACGTCACAGGGGGCTTGTAGTCTTATCTTTCATTCCTTTCTATCCTGTGCATTCCTGGATATCATGGATAAAATCAAATCTGGTTCCTCTTGGGATTGGTTTCTCTTGAACGTCCCTGTTCGCTGAGTCCTTTGTTTTTTTCATTTCAGTGCCGTTTTGGTGAATCTTTATTCGCTTGTCCTCTTGATGTACATTATTATCATCATTATTATCATCAGCATCATGTGTCTTGCCAACTGGTTCGGACACACTTTATGATTTTTGACTTTATGTATCAAATTGTGTGCTTACATCTCACATTTCATAGGTAAAGGCCAGGGCTCAAATGTGGGGGAAAACAAGAATAGGCGCACTACCTCCCCAACAAGCATGTCCTAGGAGTCGACTAATTGAGGGCTTCCTTCTAATTCAGAGTGCATCTGCCTGAGTGGCAAGGAACAATCAGCTGTACACAAATAAGTCAGTAAAAACACATGTACACCCAAACCTCAAGCCCTGGCACAAAGCCAGAATCTTAACGAATGAACAATCAGGAATTTCCTTCAGAGCTTGCAGCCTGTAAATAAAGAAGAAGAAGGTCAAAGACTGTTGAAAATGTTGGGCATTAGGATCTTGATAGCTACGTTATTTCAATGCACCCGCCCATTCATTGCATCTAATTCACATGTTTCTTAGCTCAGTGAAACATTCTTTTAATTTATCAGATGCCATACTTTTATAGCCTAACTTCTAAGCTAAAAATGCCACATAAGTTATACGTACACACAAATTATCCGGTATGTGAAGACTGAATTATACTCTAATTCATTAGAAGCCTTTCTTAATGGTTTTAACAGTGATAATCCATAGGGAGAATATGCAGTCCTAAATGAAATGGTTTGAGACTTTGCAAGGTAGTCATTTGGGGGAAAGGGGGGGGGGGGGTCAAGTCACAGGTCACATTTTTTTTTAAACACATCTGATACTGCTAACTTTTCTGCTATATGTTTATTTCTCTGGGCATGTAATTGATAGGAAGTGTGAGCATCAATTTTCCTTGACAATCTTTCACCTCCCAGTCATGAGATTAGAGAGTAACTACAAACGACAATGTAATTTTTATATTTCAGTGGAAAGTTGTCATTTTTTGTCTTCCTTATATGTTGATCTAAGTCTCTAGTAACATGCCTGATGAGATAAAGTGAAATTTGTCAAGCAATATTGTTTGTGTCTGTGTTTTTTAAGAGTAAATTTGTTTCCAGGATTCCTTGATTGCCAGCCTGAAGACTGTCATTAAAGATTTCTACACAGAAGACCCAAAACAGTCCGACAGCTTTGGTAGAATTATCAACGAAAGGCATTACCAGTATGTACATGCTGTACATTCTCTGAGACTGCTCTTACAAATCTTTTGTGGATGCCTAAATAGTATAGATGTTAGCATACTTGCGTGATGGGTCAACGATCTTGTGTTTAAATCCCTTTAGATGCAGGTATATTTTAAAACACTGACCTGTCAATAAAAACTTGCGATAAATACTTTATACACAGTATAAATCAAAACATGGCAAATTGTGTTTCACCTTTTGCTTCTGAAAAAATGTTTCTTACATTTCTTTTTCTCTTTCTTCTTCTCCTCCTGCTGCTGCTGCTTCTCCTCCTTCTTCTTCTTCTTCCTCCTCCTCCTCCTCCTCACCACCAATGCCACTTCTTTCTCCTCCCTGCCGCTGCCACTTCTTTCTCCTCCTCCTCCCTGCTACTGCCACTTCTTTCTCCTCCCTGCCACTGCCACTTCTTTCTCCTCCCCGCCTCTGCCACTTCTTCCTCCTCCTCCTCCCCGCCACTGCCACTTCCTCCTCCTCCCTGCCACTGCCACTTCTTCCTCCTCCTCCTCCCCGCCACTGCCACTTCCTCCTCCCCGCCACTGCCACTTCTTCCTCCTCCTCCTCCCCGCCACTGCCACTTCCTCCTCCTCCCTGCCACTGCCACTTCCTCCTCTTCCTCGCCACTGCCACTTCTTCCTACTCCTCCCCACCACTGCCACTTCCTCCTACTCCTCCCCACCACTGCCACTTCCTCCTCCTCCTCCCTGCCACTGCCACTTCCTCCTCCCCGCCACTGCCACTTCCTCCTCCTCCCCGCCACTGCCACTTCCTCCTCCTCCCCGCCACTGCCACTTCCTCCTCCTCCCCGCCACTGCCACTTCCTCCTCCTCCTCCCCGCCACTGCCACTTCCTCCTCCTCGCCACTGCCACTTCCTCCTCCTCCTCCCCGCCACTGCCACTTCCTCCTCCTCCTCCCCGCCACTCCCACTTCTTCCTCCTCCTCCTCCCCGCCACTGCCACTTCTTCCTCCTCCCTGCCACTGCCACTTCCTCCTCCTCCCCACCACTGCCACTTCCTCCTCCTCCTCCCCACCACTGCCACTTCCTCCTCCTCCCCACCACTGTCACTTCTTCCTCCTCCCCGCCACTGCCACTTCCTCCTCCTCCCCACCACTGCCACTTCTTCCTCCTCCTCCCCACCACTGCCACTTCCTCCTCCTCCCCACCACTGCCACATCCTCCTCCCCACCACTGCCACTTCTTCCTCCTCCCCGCCACTGCCACTTCCTCCCCCCCACTACTGCCACTTCTTCCTCCTCCTAACCGCCACTGCCACTTCCTCCTCCTCCTCCCCACCACTGCCACTTCTTCCTCCTCCTCCCCACCACTGCCACTTCTTCCTCCTCCTCCCCGCCACTGCCACTTCTTCCTCCTCCTCCCCATCACTGCCACTTCTTCCTCCTCCCCTCCACTGCCACTTCCTCCTCCTCCCCACCACTGCCACTTCTTCCTCCTCGCCGCCACTGCCACTTCCTCCTCCTCCCCACCACTGCCACTTCCTCCTCCCCACCACTGCCACTTCTTCCTCCTCCCCGCCACTGCCACTTCCTCCTCCCCACTACTGCCACTTCTTCCTCCTCCTCCCTGCCACTGCCACTTCCTCCTCCTCCTCCTCCCCGCCACTGCCACTTCCTCCTCCTCCCCACCACTGCCACTTCTTCCTCCTCCTCCCCGTCACTGCCACTTCTTCCTCCTCCCCGCCACTGCCACTTCTTCCTCCTCCCCACGACTGCCACTTCTTCCTCCTCCCCGTGACTGCCACTTCTTCCTCCTCGCCGCCACTGCCACTTCTTCCTCCTCTCCGCGACTGCCACTTCTTACTCCTCCCTGCCACTGCCACTTCTTCATCCTCCCCACCACTGCCACTTCTTCCTCCTCCTCGCCACTGCCACTTCTTCCTCCTCCCCTCCACTGCCACTTCTTCCTCCTCCTCGCCATTGCCACTTCTTCCTCCTCCTCGCCACTGCCACTTCTTCCTCCTCCTCCCCACCACTGCCACTTCTTCCTCCTCCTCCCCACCACTGCAACTTCTTCCTCCTCCTCCCCATCACTGCTACTTCTTCCTCCTCCTCCCCACCACTGCTATTTCTTCCTCCTCCTCCCCACCACTGCCACTTCTTCCTCCTCCTCCCCGCCACTGCCACTTCTTCCTCTTCCTCTTCTTCTTCCTCTGCTGCTGCTGCTACAGTGGCAGACCTGCTGTTGGGCATCACAGTATAACAGATTATAGGTAGCAGAGGCAGGAATATTGGTCAAGTTTTAAGCTCTGAGCAACTCCTTCTGTCCATCTTCTTCTAGGTCTTTCTCTGCATCTTAGTATTTCCATTCGTGTTGTGCAATCTCACTATCAGCATTGTTTAAATATTTCTCAGTTGGTGATAGAACCATTTAAGGTTTTTTTAAACAGTGGGTGTTGTTCCGATATCCCTTGAGTGCTCAGCATCGGCCAGATTATCTGGTCGATCCTCGTAGCACCGTTCCCCTCAGACCGTGATCATCTTTATTTGTGTTTCTGCACTGTTCACTCGCTCCCAAAGGACCCTTACAATATCTAGCTTGTCATGCATCAGTTTATCACTAGCTGGTGCAGGACCAGCTAGTCTATCTGCCTGCTTGACTTCGAACACACCAGCAAGAGCTGGAGAAAATATCCGCAGGATGTTAACTACCTTTGAAGTGATGCTTGCCAGCTTGGACAGAGCATACTGTCTCCACCTAATAAGAAGAAGAGAACATTTCATTGACACTTTCTCTGTTCACATAGCTTGAGGTTTATGTTGGTGGATATACTTAGACTCATTATTTTTTCCATGGCTTCATGGATTTTACTTCTTCTTCTCCTCATAGTCTGTGCAGCTGAATGCAACTTACCACAAACTGTCATAACTTCTTTTTAATTATATTTTTAAAAATTTATATTTTTGTGTATGTGGCTATGCTGTGATAAAAGAGAACCTGGAAGATGTTGCGACCACTAGAAAAATATTTATGATGTTGTGACCACCGGAAAAAATGTAGGGTGTTGTGACCACTGGGAAAGATTTATGGTGTTGTGCCCACTAAAAAAGATTTATGATGTTGTGACCACTGCACTGGAAAAGTTTTATGGTGCTGTAACCACTGAAAAAGATTTATGGTGTTTTGGCCACTGGAAAAGTTTTATGGTGTTATGGCCACTGGAACAGTTTTATGGTGTTGTTTCCACTGGAAAAGATTAATGATGTTTTGGCCACTAGAAAAGTTTTATGGTGTTGTGGCCACTGGAAAAGTATTATGGTGTTTTGGCCACTGGACAAATTTTGTTTTGTGGTGTTGTGGCCACTGGGAAAGTTTTATTGTGTTGTGACCACTGGAAATGATTTACAGAAAGAGAGATAGAGGTAGACAACATGAAAAGATTATGGACACCCTTTTGTCATGACATGGAGGGGTTTCAGCACATGAACTGGTACATGCTGCTGGAGATAGCACTTTTGAGAGTTGCATGATGGCCCACACCACTCAGGAAGCCATTTAAAAATTATGATGTTGAAAGTCTGTGCAGCCTGGCATTGGTCGTCATGTCAGTTTCAGTACAGATGTTGCTATATTTGAGAGTCCCCTCTGCTCCCCCCCCTCCCGAAACTTCCCCTCGTCATGATGAATTCATGTCTTCCCCTTGTCATGATGTATATATGTGTTCCCCTTGTCATGACGTATATATGTGTTCCCCTTGTCATGATGTATATATGTGTTCCCCTAGTCATGATGTATGTATGTGTTCCCCTTGTCATGATGTATATATGTGTTCCCCTTGTCATGATATATTCACGTGTTCCCCTTGTCATGATGTATTCATGTGTTCCCCTTGTCATGATGTATTCATGTGTCCCCCTTGTCATGATGTATTCATGTGTCCCCCTTGTCATGATGTATTCATGTGTTCCCCTTGTCATGATGTATTCATGTGTTCCCCTTGTCATGATGTATTCATGTGTTCCCCTTGTCATGACGTATATATGTGTTCCCCTTGTCATGATGTATTCATGTGTTCCCCTTGTCATGATGTATTCATGTGTTCCCCTTGTCATGATGTATTCATGTGTTCCCCTAGTTATGATGTATTCATGTGTTCCCCTAGTCATGGTGTATTCATGTGTTCCCCTTGTCATCATGTATTCATGTGTTCCCTAGTCATGATGTATTCATGTGTTCCCCTAGTCATGATGTATTCATGTGTTCCCCTTGTCATGATGTATTCATGTGTTCCCCTTGTCATGTTGTATTCATGTGTTCCCCTTGTCATGTTGTTTCAGGTACCTCACCTCCATGCTGTTGGGCTGATAGATGGTTATGTATATATAGTCACAATTTTTTTTCTCATTATATAGCTTTTTAAGTCTGTATTTTGCCCTCATTGTGTATTTCTTTTGTTCATATTGACCATAGTTGTTCAGAAGCTCTTTTGTCTATTGTTTTCCAGTAACAGTTTGTGTTGGATTTATCAGTACTCTGTGGATAAATACTTATGTTGACACCAGTTGTATTTGTGTGAGTCTTTGCCATTCCCCCTGTTGAGCTTTCTAGTCAAATTGTATGTTATTTAGTACTTCTAATGTGTGTGTGTGTTTATATATATATATATATATATATATATATATATATATATATATATTCACCTTCTATCTCTTTTGCCCTCAGAATAGTGATTCATTGCTTTTATTTACACAGAGCTGCTATATTTACTAATTAATGATACGGCCAGTAATATTTTAATGTCTTTACTCAGGAGACTTCAAAAGCTGAAGAAAAGTTCTACGATTGCCTTCGAAGGAGAAGATGATGAGAAAGACAAATTCATTTCTCCAACTATTCTGAAAGATGTGAAACTCACTGATCCAGCAATGCAAGAAGAGGTGGGTTTAGGATTTCTCTTCTTTGGAAATTAGTTGTCTACATGGCATTCTGTATTTATAGGCCAGCTAGGTCAACAGGAAATGTACGGGTGATGAGAGTTGAGCCTGTGAAAAGAAACGGATTAAACACAAATGCTGACAACAATGGTCCTAAAATCCCATGCTATCATTGTGGAAGATTTTTCTTGACGCGGGCGGGTCTTGCTAGTCATACTCGCCATCGCCATGGGCTGTGAGTCTCATGCCTCCTCATAGCGCAATATAACACTATCGTCTGGAAAGACGGAAAGGTGCCGATGAATGGAGGTCAACAGGTATTCCCGTTCTTGTGTAGGTCGAGAGGCTGGTCTGTGTTCACAATTTTTATCGAGTAGATTGCCTGTGTTTGCCTGAGAGCAAAAAAAAACAGCGGTCTGCATACAAATAAGTCAGATCTGTATAACAGATGTGCACACAGCCACCGGTGTCTAAAACAAGACTAAACTCCACAAGTGGATGAACAACATTAGTGTATTGCTACCACATATAATTATTTATACTGTTAGTTAATAATTAAACATGAAGGTAAACCAATTATAAGTAAACACAATCAAAATTATAGCAAGTTAGTGGAAAACTCTAAAGACACCCTATACCATGAATATAAGATACACAGCAATAAGCCTATGACGATTGAAAACATGATGGGAGTAGATAGTTCTAGAGAGCTACATGGAAGGATTAAACAGGACATCACAAGAACATGAGGTGTTAATATATCTTAAGACATAAAGGATATATCATTTTTCATTTTAAAAGTAAGTGAAACACAGCGTGTTTTTGTGTGGATATTTTCTCTGGTCATGCAGGAGTGTAGGGAAATGAACAGGAAGACAGACTGGATGGTTCCGCACCAGTGGGTGGTGATTTTATGTGTTACTAGCTAAATGCGGTCGCCTTTTGGAAGCAAGTGAGCAATGCAGAGGCACCAACAGATCATTATGGTCTGGAGAGAATGTTACAGCTGGGAGTAACCAGGGGATCTGGTCGACACACTACGCTCAGAGGAGAGGAAAATCTGACATATAATCATACTGCTACTGGCAACATCAAAATTGGAACTCTGTGCTTGCTGCTGAAGATAATGTCCAGATTGTTGTGGTGTCAGTTCTTAGCACAACACTCAAAACTTTATATAGAGAAAATGGTTTGTGAAGAGAGCTGAAGGTATTTGGGGCATGTAAGGAGAAGTGAATCAGATTTACACTGTCAATGTGCTTTTATCAAAGACTGACTTATTGTTTGTTCAACAGATTTTTGGACCAATTTTGCCTATTGTGCCTGTACAAAACCATCTGGAGGCTATTGAGGTCATCAACAGCAGGTGAGTGGAAAGCCTCTGTTGTGATTGTTTGCTGACTTCTTTAGTCACCTTTTATGCATGCTTGTTGTTTTGGTGGTGGTGGGGGGAAAGGGGTGGGGTGGGGGGGGGGGGTCTGTTCCTCCCCCTCCCCAAACCCACATGGGAAAGTTGACTGACATTCAGTTTAATATATTTGTAGTTATAGAGGTATTGACTCTGCATGGCATCATTCATGCATGGTCTTTTGTCATCAGTATGTTGAGGTTGGCTGTCTTAGTCGTGTATGCATTAAGTATACATTTGTAACTGACTCACACACAGAGTTGTTGTGAACAATAGAGACAGGCATGCTCCGTGCAGAGTTGCAAGCATCACTTCAGAGGTCCCAGGTAGTTAGCGTCCTTTGAATAATTACCCCAGGGAATGCTGGTGTGTTGGGAAATGAGCAGAGAGATAGACTGGACGGTTCTGCACCTCTTGATGGTGAATTGATATATGACAAGCTAGGTGTTATGAGGGCCCTATGGAAGTAAGTGAACAATGAGGAGGCACAAATAGATCATTACTGTCTGAGGATAATGGCACTGCTGGGAGTTACCAGTGGATCTGGTCAACGCTCAACATTCAAGGGAAAGATGAGACGGATGTACAATCAGACAGTTACTGGTACCATCAGAATTGAATCTCTTCGCTTGCTGCTGAAGATGGTAATGGAGCGCTTATGGGAGTGTCCCGATTGCTGTGATGTTGATTCTTAACTCAGCATTTAACATTCAACATATACAATATGCATAAGAAGTCTGGTGCTTTAATGTGTATGGACCAATCCAGCAATAATAATGTTGTGGTGTCCACCTATCCTAATATAATTTGGGAAGATACAGACAATCAGTGTGATACTACTACTTCTTCTCATACACCGCCTGTAAACTTTGGCAGAAAGTCGTGGTTTATCCACATCTGGTCTCGTTTCAGCACTTGCATTTTCTGGGCACAGATCTGGTTTATTTGTAGGTAGACTGGTGGTTCCTCATCTCTCAGGGACTAGGACTTTAAAGGAAAGGATCTGGTTTATTTGTAGGTAGACTGGTGGTTCCTCATCTCTCAGGGACTAGGACTTTAAAGGAAAGGATCTGGTTTATTTGTAGGTAGACTGGTGGTTCCTCATCTCTCAGAGACTAGGACTTTAAAGGAAAGGATCCTATCAATGCTAGCCAGGCATCTGGTTGAGAACCTGTTTCTAGGATGACAAGAGAGGTGTAGATGGGTTTTGACTAGTAGGAGGCCTAATCTTGGAGTATCACCATGTGTGGTTCCACACCTCTGCATCCCAATGTGATACAGACCACCATGTGTGGTTCAACACCTCTGCATCCCAATGTGATACAGACCACCATGTGTGGTTCAACACCTCTGCATCCCAATGTGATACAGACCACCATGTGTGGTTCAACACCTCTGCATCCCAATGTGATACAGACCACCATGTGTGGTTCAACACCTCTGCATCCCAATGTGATACAGACCACCATGTCACCCTTTGGACTCACACAGGGACTGAATGTATGGGGCTATTACGCCCGGTTAAATGTCATCTTGCCTCTCCTCTGAGTGTAATGAGCCGGCCAGACTCTCTGGTTACACTCAGGTACCTCATTCTCTCAAGGCCATAATTTTTTTTTCTCTGCTGATTCCGTTGCTTGTTCCCAAAGGGCGTTGACCACATTTGCCTTGTCATGTATCAATGCACCACTCAGTGGTGCAGATCCAGCCAATCTGTCTGCCTGTTCATTACCCACCATGCGTGCATAGCCTGGAGAAAAGATCCAAAGTATGCTTAATACCCCTGACCTTTCCAATATATATATCTGCATTGTTGTCTCTAGTACGAACTTCATATTTCATTGTGAAAATGTTTGCTTGAATTTTGACCTTCTGCTTAAGGAAAAGGAACCCACCATGGATTTCACAGTTGCCGGAAATGGCAATAGCAGTGTCAGTATTTATTCTTTCCCGATTGGTGAACCACTGAACAGATGCGATCAAGTTAATGTGTAGTGAGCTGACTACTGACAACAAGCAATGAACGGTGTCACTGTGGCAAAGGGTTTATTTTTGCCAGCCAATCGGAGGTTGATATTGGAACAGCCTTTGTACAGTTAGACACTGCTGATATAAGAAAATGTCTTATGTTTATCCACCAGAGAGAAGCCGCTAGCCCTGTATGTTTTTACAAACAACAAGAACATGGTACAAGACTTCAAAGACAAGACCAGTTCTGGGGGTCTTCTTGTCAATGACACCGTCGTCCATGCTGGTTGTAAGTGTGCATTACACTTTATTCTTCTTCTTACTCCACTCCACCTTCCCTTCTTCTTTCATTCTTGTTTCTTCAATTCCCCAGCAGTAACAGTTACTTGTTTTACTTTTTCTCTTCCATATCCTCTACTATCTTCTTCTTATCCTCCTCATCTTCCTACTCCTCCGCTGCCACCACAACTACTGCTGCTGCTGCATTGTTTCTGTCTCTTTCTCTTCTTTCCTGTCACTTAGCAATAGAATTAGGATATAAATCTACTTCTAGAACAAGCTAGGAACTAGCCAGTTTGCAAGACTGGTCCTTAAACTTCTTGTCTGTGGAGAGGCATCTCAGAGGGTAACTAGCACAGTACATACTGACAGGCTGTAATTATGCCAAGATTGGGAATATTTCCTTACCCAGTTTGAGATATTTCATTGTTTACATACTTTGTCCCAATATTTTGAACACTGACTCCTCCAGGACTGCAGCCTGAAAGATTACCACTCATTGACTTCAAATGCAACTTTAAGATTCTAATCCAATATGAGCAAATCCTAGACATCATTTTTGGCTAAATAACAGTTATATTGGGGCAGCATGTGGTTATAAAGTAACATATTGAGACAATGTATGGATATAAAATAATATATTGGGGCAATGTATGGCTATAAAGTAACATATTAGGGCAGCATGTGGTTTTAAAGTAACATACTGGGGGCAATGTATGGTTATAAGGTAACATATTGGGGCAACGTATGGTTATAAAGTAACTGGCCTTCCTGTGCATTCTTAAATGTATTGTCCAAAGGGAAAAAACTATGTCAACATCATATATGTCACTGTTAATAAAACCATGTTAACACCATACATGTCACTGTTACTAAAACCATGTTAATATTATACATGTCACTGATTCTAATACTATGTTAACATCACACATGTCACTGAACATCACATGTCACTTTTTCTAAACCCTGTTGACATTATACATGTCACTGTTTCTAAAACTATGTTAACACCATACATGTCACTGTTACTAAAACCATGTTAACATCACACATTCCACTGTTTCAAAAACCATGTTAACATTATACATTTCACTGTTTCTAAAACAGTGTTAACATCATAAAAGCCACTGTTTCTATGCCTTTTTGCACCTGCAAGAGTGATTACTTGACCTATGCCTGGTTGATGTTGTTGCTGCTTTTTAATATTTTTTTAATGTTCATTAGTTCTCAAGACTTAACTCTGCGTATTTTAATTGCATTTAGTGACCACTCTCCCATTTGGAGGGGTTGGAAACAGTGGAATTGGGGCCTACCATGGCAAACATTCCTTTGATGCCTTCAGTCACAACAAGGCAGTCCTGGAGAAAAGCTTGGCCTTTGATCAGATTAACAAGTAAGAGATACACTCTATGTTTTTGTTTCAACCCCTTTAACTTGAGTCAACTTTTGGCCCATAAGGTTTCATGGGAGATATATGAAGTGAAGTCAATAACCATGTTGTAAAATGGTAAATTAATGACATTCAAAGTGGCAGTTTACACAGCTGTAGTGTCCATACGAGGAAACCTGTTTTCGTCAGGTCAAAATTGACGTTAGGCAGGGTCACTGTTTTGAGTCGTGGCAAAGTGTTTGCTTCTGCCAGATAATGGCCGTTACATTTTTGCTCTGTTTGTAGACTAAAGGGATATAGTTTCGTCACCTAGCTACTGAGTTGAGTGCATGGTGTGACCCTGTGAGCTGCAGATTTTATTTGGAATGTTTTTTTTTTTTACTGTGACCAACATGTGTGTTGTGATGTGAATTGTAGATTCAGAAAATGGCGCATGGCCTGTCGTCGCAGTATTGGCTGTGCCCTTATGTAATTATAATTGATCGCGTGTGCAACTGCTGATTTGTTGGTTACCTCTGCTACCGTCATTGATAAACTGCATTTCTTATGTCGGACTGTTTGTGTTAGCACTTCTGATGGCTACCATATGCTTTTAATAGTGCAGATGCTAAGACAGCAGTCTGTCAATCTTTCCACAAGGGACTGTGATATAAACATTCTGTGAGTTTTTTCGCTGACACAGGAGCGGAACAACTAAGGGGTGACCCATTTTGCTATGAAGCTGAAACTAACATTACCATTACCTGTTTTCTTTAGTATGTTCTGACCAAATTAAAAAAAAAAAAAATTTAAGAGCACATTCTGCTGTGGAGTGAAATCAAGGGGTAAAGTCATTTACTGACCAGACGTGCTTGTGACTGAAATAGTAATCACAAGGCAGGCCAAAAAGTTGGAGAGATCATGTACAGGCAGACTACAGGCACTTGGGGTTACCCACTGAAAAGAGAAGGCCAATCACAGAGATGACTGGAGGCTGGTTACATATGCAGCTATTTTTCTTTGACTTCTTCTTTGCATTCAGTGGCTGTAAACTCCGGCGTAAAGTTCTGGTTGTTTGTCCATCTTTGGACTTTAGTTCTGTTCAAAAACCTGAGTGATGTGCGCACATCTGTTTAACAGATCTAACTTTATTGTTTGCAGATTGTTGGTTCCTTGCCTCTCAGGCAGATGTACTCTGACTTTGAATAAAGCCCCCATTTAGTCGACTCTTACGGCATTCTTGTTGGGGAGGCAGTGGGTCTGTTCTTGTTTTCCCCACAATGGGGCCCCGGAACCCACACCAGGATGTGCAACAGTTAACTTCAAGAGCTTGGAATGCTGAAGAACAAGCCAAAAATAAATTCTAGCAAACATTTCCAAGCCTAACACAGAACTCACACTGACATTACTAATAAATAGCTGCATTAATAGGAGTTCAATGGGAACATGGTTTTTATGGGTCTGTTTTCAGCCTGCGTTATCCACCATACACAGACAAAAAGTATAGTTGGGTTAGCTGGATGATGAAAAAGAAAATCAAGAAGACCGGGTTCTCTGCCCTGTTTCCATTTGTTGTCATGGGCGCCATGTTTGCCTTCTTTTTCAAGGTAAGTGTTCCAAGTGATTTGTATCTGTGGGCTCTCTTCGGGGTGTTAATTGAAGGTTATATGTCAAACATAGTGTGAAGCTGGAAGTGTTTCTGGGAAAGGAGATGAAGATGTAGAGGAAGACAGCAAGGGAAGATGCCTTATAGCCTGTTATTGTGACACAGAGAAGTTGAGATCTTGTTTTATGCCTTTGTTGCATTGGGCTTCTAGTGCTACAATTGTATATTTATAGTAATGATGTAAATATGTTGGAAAGACCGTTAGGAAGTTAGTAGATTTTTCTGTGAACTTCATAATGATATCCACAGAGAGGCTGTCAAAATATAATAAGAAACCATACAAGAAACAAAGATATCATTAGAATGGTGGGAACAACACCTTTAATCAGATTCATTGAAAAACCACTAACCCACCAAGAAACATAGAACTGGTACTATTAGCCATCGGACGTTGGGGTTCATACTGAGGGGAGGATCTGAGCACCTATGGACATGTCCGGAGTGCAATGAGGATAACGCAACTAACTAACTAACTAACTAACTAACTAACTAACTAACTAACTAACTAACTAACTTACCCACCAAGAGACGAAAACATTAATACTATCTAGTATCAAAGAAAGGTGGCTGGATACCCACACCAGATTTTCTCCCCAAAACTCGCTTTATCACCTCTCTAGAGAGGGGCAGTGTATTATATTCAGACTAAGGACTGGGCACAACAGATTTCGTCAACATACGTTCAAATTTTTCAGTGTAGGAAATACAGAGACGTGTCCCTGCAGCGTGGTACCCGAAAATGCTGAGCATGTGCTCTAACACTGTCAACTGTATAATGATAACAGAGACGCAATATGGTTTGTCCCAACCACAATGAAGACAAAACTGTATGGTACACGAGAAGATATGGAATGCACAATAGCTTTCATAAAGGCTACGGCATCCTGATATCAGTTTTCTGACAGAAGGATCGAAGAAGAAGAAGAGATTGAAAAACCATGACTACAATGGTTTGGCCACCTGTTCAGAATAAACCCAGTGTCACTGGTCGCAAGAGCATACAATATGAGAATGGAAATATCGAGAGGCAGAGGCAGGCCAAGAAGAAGATGAATAGATGAAGTTAACAACTTGCTGAAACACAACAGTATTACCGTGCAGCAAGCTAACAAGTGTGCAACATCCTGGAAACTGATCATTAGCCATGCCTGTGATGCTCAACAGCATTGAGCAGAGAAAGACAATAGATAGGCTGTCAAACCAAGTTTTCCTCCAGTCTAATAGATCTGACCACCAATGTGAAATCAATATTTCAGTTTTCAAAACATCAATGCCGATGGTAAAACTTTGTGGTGCTGATGCGGAGAGATCTGATTCCATGAAATACATGGGTATAACATTAGACAGATGCCTAGCATTTAGAAAACATATGGACCATATTATAACCAAAGCCAAGAAAGAGATCTCCACAATAACAGTTACAGCAGCTGTAAGTTTTGAGTGATGCCTGCTTGTAATGTTCCATCATGGGGTTAGTTCTCTCTACAACTGAACATAACATATACAGGTCATCATGACACTCTACCACACAGATAAACAGAATGAATACTAATTGAACATGAGACAATGCATGCTATTCTTAGATACACTAGGGACACATCCTGCGAATCCATGTGATAACCCTTAGACATTCTACAGTGGATAACAGAATCAAGCTATCCAGGGCTGCTGCTTTCCTCACGGTGAGGTCAGACCCCCAACACCCACTTCTTGAGGAATTATTCAGTCAAAATAATAGATTTAAAAGAGGGAAATCGTGGGTGGGTCATGCTGAGGAAGCTGTTCAACAGGTTTGCCACCTTACTGACATTCATCTTGGAATTGAATGGATACCCATGCTGGCTGCTCAAACATGAACATATAGTCCATATCACACTTGACAGAAATCTCAGAGAGAGGATTAGAGTTCCACTAACCTGTAAGCTACGGAGCGGCACAAACTGTTGTAACCAGCATTTTAAATAAGTAAAGGTCCCTTTTCCACGCCTTTAGGTGTATATGGCATATAGGGCTAGATCTATATTTTTATAGACCAATCAGCACAAGATGGGAGATGTGGTCAACATTACGCCTGCTGCTTTTACTTTCCGGGACTGCACCTGGTACCCACTCAAGCCTGGGTCAACCTGGGAGTCAAGGTCATTTTTGAAAAAAATTGGGCTCTGACAGGAAGTGAACCCATGACTTTCCAATCTGCACATGAGCATCTAGCCGCTACGCTACAACGTGTAACCAGCCTACTGACTGAAATATTGTTGTAGGGAAAATGGACAGCACAATTCAATGTATTTGTGTAATCAACTTTTTTTTTTTTTTTTTTTTTTGGCGGAATCTATCGTCGCCTGGAGATCCCCTATATCCTTCCAAATTAACTTACAGGGCTCGAATTAAATAAGTCTAGGGGAATTATAACGGTCCCTGAGTTCTGGAAAATAGAGGAAGGAGAATACAGAAAGTTAAAGAATAGGGTGAATCCCCGAAAATGTCCTAAAGAAATTCAGAAAACCACCAAAGTCAAAACTTTGTAAATTTAACTCAAATAAATTGCAATGAACAATCTTTAGTCTACCGAAGAAGTAAATTTGATACGATGAAATCGATAAATGGAATTTCTAAACCACAACTGTATTGACAAAATACTGATATTGAATTCAACAATTTTCAAATTAACACAGAGAAAATAAATAAATGTATCATCATGACACCACATTAATTTATACAAATATTCAGTAACACTCAGCTTTACGATATACGGGATGTGTCCAACTGCAGCTTCTCTGGGAGGAATGTACAAGATTCTGGCTGCGACTGTTATAGTCCTCGCCTAACTGCGACATTCATCTGTGAGATCTCGGTTGTTCATTCTATACCGTCTGGTTCCCAATTCACAAGGTAACAGGAATGGCAGCTCACGATCCACAGGTAACAGGGATGGTGGTTCACAATCCACAGGTAACAGGCATAGCGTAAAACGGGAATACGGGATTATGGTCCTGGTAAACAGGCAGACTTGAATACGGGAGCACGGGATTTTGGTCCTCTGGTAAACAGGCAGACTTGAATACGGGAGCACGGGATTTTGGTCCTCTGGTAAACAGGCAGGCAGGACTACGGTAACACGGGAACCTGCGGAATACATCATTCAGCCCTGTGTTGAGCATTATGTCGACACATCTGGAGCAGGTGGAGGTGTTGCGGTGTCTGTGGTGTTTTTCAGAGTAGTAAGCAAGAAAGAACAAGGTTCATATGTTGTCTTTCCCTACAAGTAAATCAAAATTATACATCTCCACCCTATTATAATATGTTGGTTTATACCTATCTAAATTATGGCACGATCATATAAAACTTGACATAATTAAGCGGACACACATTCGCCTGCGGATTGGACAGTTATTAGTTCGAGTCCCAAAACCCAGGTCGACTTCGCCTTAACGGACACCAGGTATAGTAATGGGAAGTAAAGGCGGCAGGTGTGATGTTGACCATATCAACACCTAGGTACCACTTGGTCTATAAACATAGGCCAACCCGATATGCCCACAAAGCTGACGACTTTTACTCAAATTATATGTTGCATAATATAATAAACATAAGCAATGTAATGTATACCCGACTGATGATACCCCATGGCACAGGATAATGGTTTCTACTATAAGATCTTTACGCAAGTAGACCGAATGAATATAAGAGTGACAGAGGGAAGAAGGGTTCGCTATTGAATAGTCCTAACGGTGAATAGTAACTTTAAGAACGTCATAATATGTAAGGACTAGTGAATTGTCCAACGGACAAGTATCAAGGTTGATGAAGTCACGGAATATTTATACAATGGTAGAATATAGAATAGTGGGATCTCAATAAAATATTTTAGGATACAGCTAAGGCTTATAGGGGATCTCAGCTACTCCCTACCATTATAAATCTCACCTGAACTCGTATAAGGTATTATTATTGTGGGTTTTAGGCCGATGGTATGGCTGGCAATCGTTCTGTGTTGTGACGAAATTAGATCTCCTAGTAACACCACAAAACGTCATAAATTATGTGCGCCTTCGTACCTTTTTATTCTTTTAGCGTCTATGTTTAAATATATTTATTTTACGTGCGCAATTCTTTTAACTAAAACTTGCAATTAACTCTTGCCGGACTGAAATATTTCTCCCGTTTTGTCACAATTTGTTTGTTATTTCTCACAGACACTAGGTGTCACAGCAGAGTCCATCAAGGGCAGAAATGGCCAGGCTTGAGATACCTCTGTCAGATAATGAAGTGGTGCCGTTCCTGCTTGGATAATTAAAATACATGCATTGACTATTGTTGTAAATTGTAGTCGTTGTGTCTGTTACTTTTGTTATGTCTGTATAATTGTAAATTGCCTGTTACTATCATAACTTGACTCTTATCAGCTTTTGTAATAACTATTTCTGTGTTACTTCTCTGCCGTAGTTGACTGTTAATTTCAGCTGCCCTTAATTTTTTATGCGAAAATCAAATTGTCCTACAGTAAAACAGACTGTCGGTACTCTGTTGATAAAGACTTTGGTCAAAACAGTCTGTCATATATGTTGTATTTGTGCCCTCACCTTGTGTGCCTGTTGTCCATATTTCATTCACCATCCAACAGTGCAGAGTAAATTTATCCCTTATGTACTGTTAGTTTAGTTTTAATCCAGGATGTTTTCTGCATATATGTGAGACACTGCTGTTCTGTCTCCTCCTCCTTTGGCCAGCTCCTTGAAGTGTTCGGGGAGCAATAGAAGAAATGACTGTGTGCTCTTTCTAATGTATCATATAAGTTGGTCATCATTTCTCTAAGATCATTGTTCTTGATGCTGCCGTTGCATGTTTTGCATGGTGTTCCCCTCACTCTGTGTTGATATATTTGTGACTGTGGTTCTTAGTGACAGCTGTGCCATGGTATTCATGTGAGAAGGCCAAACC